AAAAAAAAAAAAAAAAACCTCAAAAAAAAAAGCACTTTAATTTGCAAGTCAAACTAATCCTACGGTTAAGCTAGATTCAGCTTGCAGGTATAACCAGATAATGCTCCTCTACTCAGTTTTTTAAATATGACCTTCTGGGAGCCAGCAGGTTGCATGGCAGTTAAGGCCCTGGACTCCCACATGTCGCCCAGGGTTCCAGTCCTGGACCTGGCAGCTTGAAAACTATGCTAGGTGTGGGCGTATATGCATATATGCCCAAAATCCTGAAAGGAGAATGGAGGAGAAGGGATTGCAGCATGGTCATACCCCTTTGGGGATTATTTCTTACTTTGTCTCTGTTTCTCTCCAGCTAGCATATATATCCTATGGCAAAGCCTAACCACAATAAAAAATGACCTTTTGTACCTATCACAATGTATTTAGTATTTGAGTTTATTTGGCTTCTGCAATTAACTATGAGTATCTGAGTGGCTCTATCGTCCTCTTACAGGGACTATTCCACAACCTTGAAGATGATAGATAATAGATTTTAATTTTGAAAACCCAGTAGAACTAAAAATATGATATTCAGTTAACACTCTGCAGAGAAGCAAGAAGCTAAGTGGCAAAGTGCCTTCATATGTGTTCCATAGACACTCTGTCCCCAAGATCATCAAGACTGCTTTCTAAATCTGTGGGACATTTCTCAGTCTTAACCCTTTATTGACCATTTTATAGTCATTTAATAATGTTGAAAACTACTTTAATTTCGAAATTTCCTGTACCTTTGATTTCACAAACACCCTGCCCTATCCATAGTGTGCATGTGGTGGGGGCACTAACCCTTTAATTTCTTTTTTTTTTTTTTTTTTGAGAATTATTTTTGCTATAGAGTGCGTGCACTTGCTGGAGAGAGAGACAGACAGAAGGCAACAAATCACCCCCTTGGGGGGGATGGCCATACCGCAGTCTCTTCTCCTCTCAGGACTGGGCGTGCACGCACATGCACCCAGCATGAGTTTTAATCAGCTGGGCCCAGGACTCAAATTGCAGTCTACTTTGTGGAAGTCTAGTACTGGAACCATTATACCATCTTCTGGTCTCTTAATCTCTTATTTTAGAAAATTTTAAACCTATAGGAAAATATAAACACAGTTTAGCATTTTGCCACATCTACTATATATTTTTATATTTACATATATGCACATAAACTTTGTTTAGGACAGGTTGAAAATAAGTTGTAAACTTCATGCCATGTAAGCCCACAACACTTCATCCCCTCTCTCCCCCAAACAAGGACCTGCAATACACCTTGAATGTGACTGTATTTAAAGACAGGGCCTTTCAAGAGGTAAATAAAGTCAAATGAAGTCAAAGGAGTGAAGACCTGATTTGATAGGACTGGTGTCCTATAAGAAACGAAAGAGACATCAGGGATGTACACACAGAAACAAACAAACAAACATGAGAACACATGGGATCAGCAGATAGCATAATAGTCATATTATTGAACTCCCATGTGGTTGACTACAGTTCTAGCTCTGGACTCGGCAGCTTAAGACTCATGCCGGGCACGTGTGCATGTGTGCCCAAGATCCCAAGAGGAGAATGGAGGAAATGGGATTGCAGCTTGACCATCTCTGCTAAGGGGGTGATTTCTCACTTTCTGATTGTCTCTGGCAAGCACAAATGTCCTGTGGCAAAAATCTCTCTAAAAAGTGAAAGAAAGAAAGAAAAAAAAAAAAAAAAAAACAGAGAGAAGGTGACCCTCTGTAAGCCAAGGAGAGAGGCTTCAGGAGAAATCAAACCTGAGGACACCTTTATCTTGAATTTCCAGACTCTGGAACTGTAAGAAAATAAATGCCAGCCCAGTGTGTGCCATTTTGTTATGATAGCCTGAGCAGACCCTGTAAGACTTTCTAAGACCAGTTGTTTCCTTTCCCCAGTGGAGGGTTACCAGAGTACATTGTTGTTGCTTCTGTGCAAGGAGTGAGGGAATCATTATTTATCCATTTGGTTGTTGCACTGTTCTTCCTCCTGAAGACTTGGTCTCTTCTTCAGGCAGTAGAGTTTCTATCTGAATACTGGCTTGGGTCCAGAAACCAGGCAAGGTATCAGGATATCATGGGGTGTTGGCCCTTGGCACTGATCACCCACCCTTGAATTTCCTTGATTGTACAGATTAAGTAGCTCCCTTGTTGGCTGTCCATCTGTTTTGCCCAGGGGTCCCTTGTTCTATGAACCATATCCATGACCCATCAAATGAGCTGACCTACCTCTGATTGCTCTCTCTTATGGTAATTGCATTTACCTGACTTCTAACTATAAGCAGTTAAGCACTGTCACCAGTCCTCTATTATTTCAGGTTCTATGATCATCCATATTTCTTGACTACCTGATACATCATACCTGCTGGTTTCCATTGTTAAATCGGCGCTGTTCACCACAGTGAGAGTTGCATACTTGCACATTCAGGAATTGCTACCTTGTCCTGGGGGTACCTTTGTGTTCCATTCACCACTAGCACATTCACCTCATGGCCAGCTGGGCTGCTGGCCTGGTGTCAGAGTCCTGGCTTAGTATGTGCTCTCTCTCAGACCCCTCCAGTACCAACTGTCCCAGGCTGGACTCTCTAGAAGGCCCAATGTGAGGTAGAGGTCAGCCCACAGATGTGTGCTCTTGGGATCACCACCTAAGAAAGGGGTGGGAAGAGCAGGACAGGCAGGAAGCAAGACTGGGGAAGGAAGGTGATGGGGATGGAAGGAATGGGAGGGGAAAGGAGGAGGGAAAAAGGAAGGGAGAAGGACAGAACTCAAGTAGGAAGACAGACATTTGAGCTGCAGTTCACACTCAAGGAGTGCCTCAGGAGGAGACAAAGTGAGCTAAAGCTGAGACAGTTCCAGAGAGAGCTGTCAACTGAGGTCTTTGTGCTGACAGCATTCCCAGTTGCTGGAGAAATAAGGCCTTCCACTCCTTCTGAAGGAGGTTATGGATGGTGCACTGGAAATTCTACATGAGCACATTCGGCAAACTCAGAAGTTAGTATAAGAACAGTACCTAAGGGACCAGCAGTTAGCGTAATGGCTATGTCGCTGGCCTCCCATGTATCAACCACAGCAGTTCGAGTCCCAGACCCAGTGACTTAAAACTCATGCCGGGCGCATGTGCATGTGTGCCTAAGATCCCGAGAGGAGAATGGAGGAGAAGGAATTGCGGCATAGCCATCCCCCCTGGGGGGTGATTTCTTGCTTTCTTTCTCTCTGTCTCTCTCAGTCTGTCTGGTGAGTGCACGCACCCTATAGCAAAAACCTCTCCAAAAAAAGAACAACAAAAAAAGATTTTTGCCAAAAGGTGCATGCTCTCACTGGAGAGAAACATTGAAAGGCAATGAGAAGGAAAGAGAGAAATCACTGCCCATGGCGGGTATGGGCATGCTGCACCCCCTCCTCCTACATTCTTCTTTTGGGGTTTTGGGCACGCAAAAGCCTCTCGGTCTGGGACTTGAACTACAGTTGGCCATGTAGGAGTCCAGCACCTTAACTACCACACCTTCTGCTGGCTCCCATTTCTGATCTTGTATTACATTAATTATACGGGGGTTACAAAGTGGGGATTTTTCTAATTCTAGTACTTCTACATTTATTTGCAGGCATACTTCTATAAAGGTTTCTCCATCTTTTCTAGTATCATGTGTCATTGGAGACTCTTTTACTATTCAGTATGTTAGTGAGCAGCAGATGGGGTAACAGTTCCGTCACTGAACTCCCATGTAGTCAAATGCTGTTCGAGGCCTGGACCCGGTGACTTAAAACTCATGCCATGTGTGATCCCAAGAGGAGAATGGAGGAGAATTGATTGTAACATGGCCATCCTCCCTGGGGTGGGGGGTATTTCTCACTTTTTGTCTCTCTCTCCAGCAAGCACATGCACCCTATAGCAAAAACCTCTAAAAACAAACAAAAAACTATTCAATATATAATAATCCATTAACATCAAGATTCTTT